CTGGGCTCTTTCTTCTTCATCTTTTAAGGCCTCCTCATATCGAGATGGGAAAAAATGCCACTCAGCACCATGGACTCTGGACCAAAACTCCAGGAGCTTCATCTTCATGATTTCAGCATGGATCCTTGGACCCCACACAAATTCATAACATGCAGGATTGCTGTTAGCCCACGAATGATACTCTAGGTATCTTTCCTGCACAAACTCTTCCGTGATGAGCTTCTTGGGACATCCAAAATATGAATGCAGCTCCCCAGGACGTATTTCCAACGCATTGAGAACATACCAAATTTCCTCCACAATGGTGTAGTTGTTATTCAGGAAGATCACACCTAACATAACAATCAGGAGGCCAGTCTTGGGCACACCCTTTGTTTTACTCAGCACCCCATCATAGGTGAGGCCAAGTTCAATGAACGGGGTATAGCCATGGCTGATGGGGTCGACTTCCTTCATTTCAAGGCCAAATATCAAGTCTATGAGTTTAGACACTCTCTGGAAGATCTCTGGGAAGTGGTCTTCATATTCTTGGATGACCATCTTCAGCATGTCAGCTTTTGTGATCAGCTCCTTCCTTTGATACCTGAACAGCAGAAAATCCACCAACACATACACCTTCTCATCAAAACATTCAATATCTCATGGAAACTGTGAGGCACTTGAGGTAGCCCCATTTTCTTGGCTACTATGATCTTCATCCAATATGATCTCTGAGGTGGCTGCCTTAGCAGTGGAAGAGTCATACTCACTCTGAGGAACAAGAATAGTACTGGCTGTTTCTACAGTAGCATCCTCCTCCTCAGAGCTGGGGATCAGAGAAGAGGGTTAGGAACAGAAATCGTCTCAGAACAGAAATAATCTCGAGGAACACTGTATCATCCAGTTCCTGGTCCTGACTGAAGGAAGGAAGGTATTGCTCAAGAGAGAAGCGGGGAAACTTCTTTTCACCAGACATGATGACTACCTTCTCTGGGTGGCCAAAAAACAAGATTTGGGACAAGAGGGTGGGAAAGAAAGCCCACAGCCTAGCGGAGAGAGGGAAGATGTAGACCAACTAAGATAACAAATTATAATGTGGAAGTTTTGACAAAAGCTATCTCTGTCTGACTCCTCTTGAGGGATAGTGCTCTAGTGTCTCACAGGTCTTCTGCCCTCTTAGTCAGCCTCATTCATAGAAGCCACTGCCATTGAGTTGATTACAACTCATAGCGACCCTAGAGGAGAGAACAGAATTGCTCCAGGAATTTCCAAGGTTGTAAATCCTTATGCAAGCTAACTGCCTCATCTTTTTCCCATGGGGCAGCTAGTAGGTTTGTACCACCAGTCTTTTGTTTAGCAGCAGAATGTGTTAGTCACTAAGCTACCAGAATTATTTTTCCCCATAATAACATGAAGGAGTAAATGAGAAGATTTCTGTGAGTACAGTCATCCAATTCAGCTCAAGGATTTCCATGGTTCATAGTAGGGCAGGTGGTATAATACTCACTGTAGCTACCTTGCTTTTAGTTTGGATGTTCCCTTCTGTTCTCATGCATTTCTCTTATCCTTACTGCTTTTGCCTCTGATGACCTGAAGCTACTCCTTTCAGATCAAGACCTCAACTCCCTTAGAAATCATAGGGGAAAATGAACAGGAACTTTATCCAGTGACCCGCCACCAAGAGTCACCAGGGTTGACAGCAGGGGTTAGATTTGTGGCCCATCTGTTCTGGGATAGCTGGTACACTCAGATTCCACTCAGGCTCCTTACCTTGATTCCTAACAGACTTAGGACTTCTTCTGCTGACCTGATATCACCTTCTCAGACAAAAGTCTTCACCACTAGGACATCCCTGAGCAAGAAGTGAATGGACTCCTCATCCTTACTCCCTGCCAATTGCTAGCCAGAGCCAATAACAGGGGCAGGGCATGAATTTCTGTGTCCCCATTTTTCTTGAGTTGCAGGCTCCCTAGTCCGTACTCAGTGTGTTATCCTGATACTTAGGAGGGCTTGAGACTCCACATTCTACTAACATAATCTCCACCCCCAGACTAAGGCTATCACCCCCTTAGACTCCTGAAACAGAATAGAGTGGGCACTATTTCTGGTATCCCCTGCTTAGGGCCTTTCAGGGCTGACATCAAGGTTGGTATTCTAATCTGTCACATCCTCTTTGCTTTGAAGTAGGTGATCCCATCATTCCTCATTCAAGATCTTTACCCGGACTCCTTCAGAGGATAGGAATCCACCCTTTGTTACCTTGAGGAATATCTCCTCAAAACAAGGCCAACTTCTTACTCAGGCACATGATTTACATGTGACAAGTGACATCAGTCTGATAAGTCTGTCCAGGTTATGCTGGGATGATGGTAGGGGCAGCCTCTAGTCTGTTTGGCCCATTTTGTTCTGGTTTGTGAGATCCCAGCTCTATTTCTATTATTTCTGGTGGTTCCTGAGACCTTCTCCTGACTTGGGGTTGCCCAGTAACAGTAAGGCTGAACTCCATGTGACCATGTTGGAGGAGGGAAAGGGCATCTTATCTAGCCATCTCTGCTCAAGATCTGTTTGGATTGCAACTGGTTTGAGGAACTAGAATTTTCCAGGGTGGTGATCACCTTATTCTAACTCATATTACTTACCTTGACTACAGGCAGGACCTAGGATCACTCCTTCTGACTTCACACTACTCAGACAAAAGTCTTCCCTGACCTGAGCCCACCAAGACAAAGTGCTGAGAGCAGAGCAGAACTCTGTGTTACTCCTAAAGTTCTGTGACAGATGGCCCAACTCAATGTGTTACCTTGATCTATCGTATGGTTTGGGCCTCCTCCATCAGCTTTCCTAATGTTACACACTCACAATGAGGTCTGTAAGAACTGTGAAGAAGGGAGGGGTCATCCATTTCATCCACTCCAAGCTCTTTTGCTCCTAGTGGTCTTTGGGATCACATATTTGAGGGTGAGTGATCCCCTCAGACCTAGCTCAGAGTTCTTAAAATGAGTCTTGAATGTGTTTTGGAGTTCTCCTCATGTTGACCTGATGTGACCTACTTAGAGTAAAGCCTTGCCTTCCCTGAGACCCCAGGGAAGAAGAGAGAGGTCATCTGAACTTGATATCCTTGCTTGGAGAATCTCAGGGCAGAGCAAGACTCTTAGGGTGGGGGATACTTGCACACCTAAATCAGGATCCTTAAATCATGTCTTGGGGCTCCCCACTTTGCAGACCTGGTAAATATCTCCTCAACCAGGGCTGGCGCTTTTTCCAGACTCTCAATGTAGAAGCAATGGAGTGCCTCAGCAGACAGAGCAGTTAAAGGCTTGTTGTTGTTGTCATGTGCCGTCAAGTTGGACCTGACTCATAGCGACCCCTCCTTGGGTTTCTGAGGCAGTATCACTACAGAAGTAGATTGTCCACCCTTCCTTCTGAGGAGTGGCTGGTGGGTTTGAACCGCCAGCCTTCTGGTTAGCAGTCAAGTGCCTTAGGCACTATGCTACCACAGCTCCCAGTTCAGGGCTTACCAGAGTAGAAAACAGAAACATCACAAGAATTTGTGTCTCCCCTCTATTCTAGGACTGTGGAACCTTCAGTCCTATTCATTGTCTTACCTTGATACCTATCAGGGCCTGGGACTTCTCCCTCCACTGAACAGAGACCACCCCATAAGCCCTCACCTCCTATAGGCCCCAAGGTATAAATGTCCTCCCGAGATCTGGCCATCCAATTCCTGGTATCTCCCAGGG